GCTTTGTCATTCAGATCTGAATAGAAAACTATTTTGTCTCCAGGAAATAACTGCTAACGATACAAGCGGTGTTTTCTGTGCGAGTCCTGGGGACATTGAGTTTAGTAGTATTTTCACATCTATAGTATCAGAAAAAGAAATAATGTAAAACTCAAAGCCACTTCTCTTCCTGTGTGTGGCTTGAAGACTGAGCATATTTTGATGGTATCAGTCAGCTTTTATAGTCTCTTGTGCTGAGTCTCTTTTTAATGTTAGAAAAATGAGTAACTTCTCTTTGATTGCTTGTTGCTGTTGCTGGTAACAAAACCAGAGACTTGGCAAAAGCTGTTGTAATGCTGGAGCTCTTCTTTGAGTGCATTTGCTTTTAGCTGTTTTAGGGATGCTCCTCTGTACATACGTCAGCCTAATTTCGGTGCCCAAAGGAAGGAAAGGGGGTGGAGAACAGACACCAGTTTTCTTTAAGGAGAGATAAATAAATAGTAAGAGTGCTACTTATCTCTTAAAAGCAGTTTACTTCCCCACATCTTTCTTTGATGGCTGCTGAAAAGGTAAGGACATCTTTTTAATCTGTTCTAGATGACATTGCACAGGGGGATACATTTTTACTTACTGGGATGGTGTTTTTTAGACTGCAAAAGATCTCATGGAAAGACCACAACTGGAACTTAAAAAAGTGTTTGTGTTTGGTTTTTGGTTTGTTGGGTTTTTTTTACTTTAAGTGTTGGTGTGGGATGTTATTAAAATTACAAGACATAACTTTGGTAAAACATTATCAAAGAAGTTATAAATAATTTGCATGTCTGTATACAAGGATGTGACAATAAAACTGTTGCAGCCAGGTAGTATAAAATAACACTTGTAATTTTCTTAACTAAGAATAAATTATGTGATTGGCCTCTGCAGAATAGAAATAGCCATAAATTCCAGGAGCTTTTGTGATAATTTTTACTCTGAACCTCCTTAATCTGTGTCCTAGCTACTGATGTCTTATATTCATCTTCTGGGTTAACGGATGAAGTACGCCAATTATCTCAAGTCAATGCAGACTGCAACTTTAGAAGATCAGTTTGTTTATACTTATTTAATTGTCATTATTTTGCTAATGCTTAAGGATCTGAAAGGAGATCAATAATACATTACATGCAAAATTGCTTTGAGAAAAAGTAGCTTGCTATATCAGGCATTTCTAAGTTCAAAAACTAAAAAAATAAGCTACCTTTGCAAACTTAATCTTGTCCTAGGTAGGCCTTTTGATTGCTCTTCAGTAACATAACTACATACTATTTTAGCCTGATACAAAAGAAAAAAGCATGGTCCGCTGAGACTGCACTGTGTGCTTGCATGCCTCCCTCTCCTAAGACGTGACCACGTTGGTCGTCCCATCTCCTTTACGATGGCTTTGAGACTTCACATGATAGTTTCAGAAAGCTACTGGTCCATCTGTAAGGTGCCTGACACTGGATTATTTTAAATACATAATTTAAAATAATGCTTGAACAAAGTATTTTATGTGAGCTTTGTGCTGAAAAGGGAGAAGTGTCTTGGTATTTACTAAAGAGGTTGCTGTTGCTTTTGGTTTTACATAGAAGTTGCTTGGCTTTGAGGTTAGCTGACCGTATAACACAGCTAGCTAGCTGGATTCGATGGGTAAACATGAAAGGAGGGCATCTGTGAAGGTTTTTAAGATTGTTTTTTCCTGTCAAGGAGCGTCATTACTGAAAACACCACTTCTTTATTACTGCCAGAAAACTAATCTAATGCAGACAGCTTCGGTGTTAGAAAAGCTCTTTTTTCTGTTAGGAAAGTAGAGAGCTTTTCAGTCCAATTTGAACACCTCTGTGAAATGATTACAAGCTCAAGTCTGTTGTGGGGCACAAGGATTATCCCCCGTTTTGGGGGATATAGTACTTTATTTATTCTTAAAGCTACCTCATCATTAAGCTAGATTTTGAGTTATCTTTGAATGTACAAGAAAAATTGACAGTACACAACGATTGTCTGGGCTTAAATCTTCGTGAAGGTTTTGAAAAAACCACAACTGTAGGAATGTCCAGGTGTAATATTGATAGAGCTGCTGGCTACATGATGTATTTTAAGCTTTATTCTCTGCAGCATGTGATCTTACCCAAACCATTCTATGATTCTATGATCTTGCCCAGCAGCGAGAGAGCCATAATGGCTTTTTCTCTCTCTGCGTAGTGCAGATACTGTAGGACGTAGGGCCCTGGCACTTTGCTCTGCAGTAAGTTTTTTCTGTTGTTTGATGCCAGAAGATGATCCTAGTCTTTCCCTTCTAGTCCCTGTTGGTGGTCTACTGTTGTCATTAGGATAAGAAGTGTAGCAATAGACCAACTGGTTTTGTTGATGGTGTTTGCAGTATTACTGACAGGCTGAGGTCGAATGCTCTTTGGAAGAATCCTGCTCTGGCTAGGGCAGAACCCATGTCTCCCAGGGGGAATAGCTGTGAGCAAGACAAAGTAGAAACAAGGGGAGGTTCCAAGCCGTTCCTTCCCTCACACCATTTAAATTTGTGCAAGCTTGAATAGCTGAAAACATAAAAAATTTATATGCATCTCTAAATAAGATTCTGTACGCCCTCAGTATTTTTCATACACTAAGATGTCATCCGAAACCCATTTCCCCAAACAGGCTTGAAATACAGAAAACTCTGTGCTCTTCTGTGAAGAAGGGAGGTAGTCCTTTTTTAAAGAATTTGAAGGAGATATTAAATAGCAACTATTTCTGTGCTTGTTTAACTGTGGATGTTGCTCTTAGTAACTGTTTTACAGTGGCACATTCTTAATAGCTCTGTAAGACATTCATATATTTTCTTTAAGATCACTAGAGTGGTTTTATTGGATCCACATAATAATGACTGTCATGAATTTACTAGCTTTTACTGATGCTTCAGCAGGATTTTCTGATGACGTTGTAGATATGCTAGCCTTTGGAAATCCTAGGATTTTATAGAAAACATAACTTACGCTGTAATGGGTGTTTTGGTATTCTGTATAGTGCAGAGGTCCCCAAGTTTGTACTGCCTGCTCTTTCAGATTGTATTGACTTAAATGGAGTTGAAGGTTCTAAACATGTTCATCAATCCTGGGAGGTATTCTCGAGGTAAAAGATGAAAGCAGGTGAAGGATGCAGGGGCCTTTGAAAATGACATATATTGTGTTAAAAAATTGCTCAGGCTTTTTAGGTTTCAACTGAGTAATTTCCTGTGAAATTGCAGTTGGTAAGGAAATAAAATATGATTATGCGTATCTCTGTCTCTTTTGTTTCCACAGGAAACCAATCTTTTTTTTTTTCTTTGTTAACACTGCTTCTGTTAAATGCTTTGTCCTTTTGGTGTCTGTTGAAGGGTTTCACGAAAAAATATAAAAGAACGGAATGCATACTGTTTATAAATACAAATTATCACCTCCGGCTTTTTTTGTGTGAAATTAAGTAACTTAATTGGGGCAAGCCGTATGTAAAGTAATTCCCTGCACTGACAAAAATACATTGTCACTATATATCTGAAGTTTTGGTGTTTTGGGTTTTTTTTAAGCTTAAAACTCAAAGTATTTGAAAATAATGATCAAGGAATGCAGGTAGTTGGTCAGATTCTCAGCTGAGGTCCATCAGTGAAGCATCAGTAACTGCTTTGGGAAAGCTTTACCCTTCTGTCTTAGTGTCTAGACCTTCTGCCTAGAGCCTGATTGTATGTATTTAATTCAGATTAAGTTTGAAACACTTCACCAGTTTTCATATACACATCTTTAATATTTGGTGTACGGTAAGTGGAACTCTCTTACATTTCCTGTAATAGACACTCGACACTAGACAGTAGTATTAAAGCTGAATACAGTGTGTAAGCTGAATTAGATTGAATAATAATTTTCTTTCTCTACTTATATTAAAATTATTTTCTACTTTAGTGGGAGTTTTGCAAAAGTGAAGGTCACAGAATATATCCAAAATACAGTTGTGATTCTGTTTTAATTTTATACTTCTCATATATTTGTACATTAACATCATCAGTTTGGGGCCAAAATTGTTAGTGCACTGAGCTGGAAATAATGTATATCTTAACTCTTTAGTGCTTGTGTGTATTAACAAAGATAATAGCATTATTGGGTATTAAACTGTTTATCTAGACTTAACAGACATAGATAATTGATACAAGTGACTCTTAGAGGGTGTCTTTCCCTCTTTCCTCTTAGGGTTGTGATATTTTGTCTTTTCAGTAAGATGAGATTAGAAAGGGGCATTTTCGTCTCAACCAGTATGACTTTTCCAGTCATGGGGCCTGTAGGCCTGTGTTCAAAACTAACTTAAGTTTCTTTATTGTTTTTTTTATGTTGACTGTACAAACAATGTGAAGGCACATGGCCAAGTGTTAACGGACAATATGGTGAGACTGTCTGAAGAACAGGACTGTCTTAAAATCTTTCCTGTATCTGAAGTAGTGCATGAAAGGTCTGAGTATAGCAAAATGTGGTCTTCACATACTATTTGAAATTTCTTGAAGAGGTGAGGAGAAGAGATAATAACGTATTCTTTTTTCCCCTAGGCCCAGAAATCCCAAATCTACAAGACCAAATAAAAAAAAACATTCCCCCCACTCCTTTACACCATCTCTTGGTGACAGTTAAAGCCCTATCTGGGACCTGGCTGCAAGCTCTCATCTTGTTTGGAACCACTCTCAGAAAAAAAGGAAAAAAGAAAAGAACAAGGAGTTCTTTCATGTGAAACAGACAAGGCTGCTGTGACCTTGCTAACTGTTCATATTCCCTGGGTAGCAGAGACACTTAAATGGTGACTTGTGTGAAGACAGACACGGTTATTTTTCTCTTCAAGGGTATGACACAGTGAAACGTATCACCAATCAAGTAAGAGTGCAGGCACCTTGTAAACACTCAGACCACAGTATACCCTACAAAGTAGTATCCATCGTTCTGGATGTAGTAGAACCATAGGACAGGAGTCTACAAAATAAGTGAAGTTTGAGGAAAATGGCCTGTGAATTTAATCTAAACTTCCTTAAGGAATTGGAACGAGAGGCTGTTCTGGAAGTCCTGTACCGTGACCAGATGGTGAGAAAAACAGAAGAGGAAAGAATAAGGTATCTGCCGTTCCCCTATTCCTGTATTTCTGTTATTTTTTCAGATAGTGAAGAGTCAAGAGTACAAGAGAAGTACTCTTCTTCCACTTTGCTGTCCTTCCCTAGTCCTGTATTTCTGTTATTTTTTCTCAGAAGTACTCTTCTTCCACTTTGCTGTCCTTCCAAATGTATTCCATTGTATTACTTGTTGTTAGCTAATGCCTTTTTATTCTTTGGGAAAACTAAGGGTTATACAGAGCCTCTTGAATTTACCATACTATTGACTACTCTACAGTAAAGATGAGCAAATACTGTTCAGTGAATAATCTACTTGATGAATTTTACTTCTAGCCTTCATAGAAAGTTCAGTTGCTGCCTGTATTTTTTTCTATGAAGGCTTTATAGCATTCTCATCATGTTCCTATGTATGCCTATATAGTCCTGGTAACACAGAACACGTTCAGATCTTTGGCTGGCTTATTTAACTTTGTTGTGTCAAGGCTGGAGTTAAGAATCATTGGATACGTGCTCATTGTGCTGAATCCATTACTGTCCCTTCTCACGTACAACACAAGCAAGCGTACCACACTGTCTCGGAGGTTGTTACTAGTGTCAATAGGTGTCACTGTCAGGAAAAGGATTCTATTTAATTATTTCACACTATGCAAGTATCTCTGTCGTGAAGGATAAGGGATAATCCTCCAGCATTTTATTTGCTTTATATCAGGGCTAGGGCAAAGATTTCCTTGCAGCTTGTTCCCTGCTTTGTCACATTGCATCCCCATGTAAAATAGGGTATTTTTGTTGCTGTTAGAAATTTGTAGTCTCTTAAATGCAGAAACTTGAAGTTTGTTTACAGCAAACATTTATGTAAGTATTACTGGACATATTAAATGATTGTGAAAAAAAAGTAAAGGGTTATAAAGAAAGTCTGAATTGGTTAGAAAATCCCTGACAACTGTTGATGATGTAGCTAACAAAAACGTAGGTCTTGATTATTGGTACATGTAATGGAAGCAAAGTTAATGAAAGGGAGAGGTTTCAATATTTTGGTCTGATGTGTTTTTTATTTAACTTTCAGATGATGCATTTGTTATGATTATTTTTACTTGATAGAAGATTTGATTCTTGGATAAATATGATAAAAACTATCATCAAATGAAAGGGAGCACCAGTTTTTGTATGTGAATACATAATCACTTGCATACACAATTTCGGTGCCCTGCCCTGAGCATGCATAACTGACACGAACAGAACCCCATTTATACTAGACTATTACTCTGTTTGTATGCACAGTTGTGGTTCCATATACAGTCACAGTGCAAAAATGCTGTGTGTAGACGCCTTCAGACAGTGCTCAATTGAGGTCAAACTTGAGGGCATATCTCCCACTAGTAATGATATTGCACAACCAGGGTGTTAGCTGGAGACTTACTGTGGGGGTTTTGGTCTATTTAATTTTTTATAATTTTTTTTCTATTTTTACCTGGGGGATTAGGAAACTGAAACTGCAGCTGCAGCAGCTTCGGTGGAAAGGGGCAAGAAGCATAAGCCATGAATACCAGGAGAGATCTTGCGCTCGCTGTCAGAAATCGCTTGGGTTATTGATGAACAGAGGTGCAGTATGCAACGGGTGCAGTCATCGAGTGTGCTCTGAATGCCGTGTCTGCCTGAATCCCTGCCTTTGGAAATGCACCGTCTGTTACGCTCATGGGTAAGAAATGTTACTGGTTTGGATAGGTGCCGGGTTACACTGGTTATCCAGTGGATGCACACTGGTTTTGTGTGTATCTGTTGCTTTAAACAATTAATGAAACAAAGCTTCTGGCGGAATGAAAATGTTGGATGAAGTCCTGGTAGCAATGAAATCGATGGGAATTTTGCGTTACACTTCATGTAGTCAGGATTTCCCTTCCTGTATTTAGCAAAATGGATCCTCAAGGTTGGCCAGAGGTAGTGTGGCAAAGATGGTGACAGCAAAGCATAGGAACAGTCGTTAGTTTCTGAACTGTAGATAGAAGTCCTGCCCCTGACTCAATACTGAACCAGTGCATCCTAACAAGTTGCTGAAGGTGCTGTGTTTTGGTGTAGTATAGCCAATTTCTTGACAATTTCCTAATCATTTTTTTTTGGCCTCATACTACAGGAATGGGGAACCTGGACTGATGAATAATGTGAAGTCATATTTTATATAAATTTAAAAAGCAAAAAGCATTAATAACATTATCAGGAACTGTTTAAATGTGGTCAGAAATACAAATTTATTTACTTTAAATTAGTTGTTTTTTCTTTTACTGTGTCACCTTGCTTTTGTTCTCTAGGAAACAGGAAACAATCTTTCTTGTACTGATTGGTACAATTTTTATATCAAAATACTCCATCGTAGTCCCTCCTATTCATCAGAATCTTTCTAAACCAAATGGTTTAGCTATATTTCCACCTTTGATGAAAAAATAATAGTATGTAGACAAAGAAAGATAAGTTTGAAAATGAATCAACAGCTGTGCTGGATGACATATATCCCTGTACAAAGGGTGAGGATTTGGATGAAATTTTACTTTATGCCAACACAAGATTAATGCAGCACTTTACTCCCTCTTAAGATGCCAAACTGAGATTTAAATAATGCCTGAGAAATGTAAGGCAAGGTATTGGTCTTAAGCTAAATGAATTTCTACTACTAGCTTGAAGTAATTTTCTGTAGTTTGGAAAAGACTATAAACTATCACTAAAAATACGTTCTCTGAATCCTCAGTTTATTTTGCAATTTATACATAAAATAGGCAGATTAGCTCCATCTATATTTGATACAAAGCAGTTACTAAATTTTGATGCATATATTTCACTGTCTCTGCTTCTTGCTATAAGTACTAAAAGGAAAGGTTAAAAAGTTAAAAACTTTCCATATCCTCCTCTAGATACCTCCCTCCACTTTCTTTTCTTTTAAATTGGTTTCTAGTTATTTGGTGGCCGCAGTAGAAATCCCCTATAGAGAGTAGCTAGTTGTTAAGCTGCCTTGTATAGTGCTGCACACCCTTAATTATTTCATAAGCTTGTCCAGATATTTAATGGTAAAACCAGGAAAGCATTATTTAAATGAAATAAAAGACATTTTTACTTTTTCTTGAGGAAATTACTTTTTTTGTCTTGCTAATATAGAGGAATTCTTCAGCTGTTATTGAAATTCTCTTTATAGCAGAGAAACAGCACATTTTATCTTGTTTAGTCACAATGCAAAGTCCATTAAAATCGATCAGACTTCTTCCATTGCCTTCAGTGAGCTTTACATCAAGGCTGCAAATCTCAAGAAGGGTAGGGAGTGCAGCAGTGTGGTAAATGCTACTCAGTGCCTTTTGTGTACCCTGGTGAGGGAAAAATAGGGTGACTAAGAAATGTAAGAGCTGATTTTCAAGTCCTGAGCAACTGTAATTTTGAGTCTTGGTTACCGCTAGAGTACATTTTCCTGAAAAAAACATTATCAGCAGCAGCGCTACTGAGATTCTCTCCTAGACACTAGGGTTCTGTTTGTAATGAAGATGCTTAAAGACCTCAGTGGAAGAGCATGCAGGGATAGGTGAATGTTCATTGTTTACAAAATAAGAAATTTAAAAAGCCTTGTGGACTGACAAAGTTTGTATCTTTCACCTGGAAGAGGCATCTCTTATGTAAACGGAGTTGGTATAGTGTGTCTTTTAAAGGAATCATGTCTTGTAGGAGTCTAGAAAGACATTTGCTTTGAAGGAGGTTAGTCTGTTTTACCTGACAAGGATAGTTCTTTATCAGCTTCGTTGTCACACTTTTGGTCATAGCTTACACTCTTTAGTCAAAAAAAAAAAAAAAAAGAGTATTTCCAGATCTGTTTTCATCCTGTGAGTGGTCTAATCATCATGTGAGCCTGTGCAGAACTGGAGATTAAACTCTGGGAAGATAACCATGGGTAGTGGGAGGAACATTAAAGGAAGGCTGGAGATGAGAATCGAGGCACTACCTATGCAGAGCCCTTGAAGATCTAGTGCAACCAGAGATTTCAGACATTAATAGATCTCCATCCAAAGTAAATAAGTATCCTGTCTCAAAGTTATTTTAACCTAATTTTCAAAGTCATCTGTGTTCAGTTACACACAAGGATCTATGGTTAGGCATGTAAATAAATAGTACAACCTACACAGGTAGTGAATTTTTTGAATATTCTGCATTGCTACTTACAAAGGTATATTTTAAATGCCTAAAATGCCTTAAAATTAAGCCACAGAAAGAACTAACAGCATCCTATCTATAGTTTGTCTATTTTAACATAGAGTAAGGTGAGGTGTGAAATGGCAGACCCAGGGGTTTTGTTGCCTGGCCTTTGGTGGATATCAGTATAGCTCTCGTGTTTAGAGATTTTGTTTTCTTAAGGAGGCAAGCCCTACATGAATTTACTGTCTGTATGTTGTCGCCAATTTCAAGGAAGTTTGGCAGACGGAATGATAATAAAGAGACTAATTTTGTAGAGGAAAATGAACTACTGGGTAGAGAAGAAAGTTTAGCAGTGCCTGCACTGAGGAAACTTTTGCAGTGGGACTTCATCCTGTAATAAGCATCAGAAAATCCACAAGGAAGAGAGATATTATATATGCCCTAAAAATCAGTAGGACAACTAGATGAGAATTTGGAACCTGAAGACTCCAGAGAATCCTCTCTTCAGTTAAAGAATTTTTCGCCTCTTTAAAAATGGATGAGTTCAGAGTGCAGGCTTCATCTAATTCAGTTGGAGACAACAAAATGCAAGAGTCAAATCTGCTGAAAATCTGCTCTTGACAGAGATATTTAGTCTGATATAATTTTATACTTGTTAATCACTACTTTTCTCATCCTGTGATCCTGGTGCCTGTGTATGACATGGACATCATTGATGTTAGCTTCCACAAAATGGAGAGAGATAGACCATGAAGCCATCGCACCGTCAGGGTTGTGGAGCTCAGTGCTCCCTGGTAGCCATCCCAAGCTCTGCTTGGGAGCATATCCTCTATCACTGACTTTCCCTGCTCCTCAGACTAGGCTGCAGCTGTAAGCAAAGGTGTCAGCACAAGTGCCTGGGGCTGTTATGCAGCTTGTTGGTTGTATAGACTGGAGTGGACCCAGGACTCCTGGCTTTGAGCAATGCCTAGAGCAGTATGTATTGCTTTCCATGGGCAGTCCTGCATAGCAAAAAGGACAGAAAAAAAATGGAGGGGAGGAATCCTTTGTTTGCGGACCCACAGCAAAATCAGTCAATGGAGTGAGCAGTCAGGAAATCCTGGTTTTATGGTAGGATTAAGAAGGATTGTTGGACTGTTAAATGGTTATCAAACATTTGAATAATTGCACTTTGGAAAATGTTGATTCAAATGTCTTTTGCTTGTTTTTCAGAGATGTGAAAGTAAAGACTGGTGAATGGTTCTTTGAGGAACGAGCAAAGAAATATCCAGGTGAAGGTAATTGCTGGAACAGACCATAAACTGCTGTGTAATGTGTAGTCCTCATCTAAGTGAAACACAGAATGTGGTCTGCCACTGTATTTAATGTTTCTTCCACTTGGTTAGAGATTAGTCAGAAATTATCATGCAGTGCGTCTGTCTATGCACTAAATAAAACATGAATACAAACTAGCAGAATGCATTTAAAAGTATAATTTATATTGTATGAGTAATAAGAATAAGAAAATTGCTGGCCATATCCATTTGAATTAATGAGCGTGTAAGGCTTCCAAGAAATACAATTACATGAAATAAATATGTTAAAATATATGTGCAGGAAGGAAATGATCTTGCATCCATTGTCTGTCAAAGTTAAAACTTCAATTGTTTTCACTGAGAAAGTTCTAAAGCTTAAAGAAATGACAGAATGGAATAAAGAAAAACATGTATAGCTATAAATCAACAGAGAGCTAAATGCTTACTGTTTCTTCACTTTCAGCTAGCTGCGCCATTGCCTTGTCTTCAGTCTTTTCATTGCAATTAAAAATACAAAGCCCTAAAAGAAATTGCAGAGGATGTGGATGGATTGCCCTATGGGGAATGTGTTTCACCAGTGAAGGGGCTGTTAGTCTTCGTTTTCACCTACAATGACTAATAAGGTGGAGAGGATTTCCTTCCTCTTTCCCTTGAAGCACCGCTTCAGATAGGCAACTATTTCACTTTGTGCCTGACTGTAGCTAAATGTTAGTTTTGTTTCCAGTATCTGCATGGTATCTAGATTTAAGAATAGCTGGTAAAAAGGAAAGCACTGGAGCTTAAATATCTCTTGGGGAAACTTGAATAGGAAGAAGTTTATAAATGGAAGAACGTAATTGGGCAAATTTTGGGTAGTACGTATTCACGGAAGACAGCAGGTAGCATGTTAAGAAACTGAACTACAGTTCCTGCTAAAACAATTCATTTAAAATTTGAAAGATTTCACTGAATTCCATTCTAGCTAACACAATTTCTGATTAAAGTATTAGTTGACTGATCTTTTAAAGCACAGTTGTATCCCATAACCGTTGTTAGTAATTTTCCTTCATATTCTTTTCAGCAAGTCTAAAGCCAGAAATTTTAACAATCTCTCTCAGTTACTGGAAAATGCTATGTTGTTCTCAGACACTGAATCTGATATTGCAAGATACTGACTGTCCCTCTTTCCAGTAAAATAAATGAGTTCTCGCCTTGCATTATCAAAGCTTTGTGGGTGCTTGAAGCATTTTGCTTAGTTAGTCTAATAGTAATAGTGTTGAAGTCACAAAGATCTAAGTATATATAGAAGATAAGCTGCAGGGAGAAATATGTTTTGTTTAATTCCTTTGATTAGACCAACTGACATAATTAAAGGGGTTAAAAAATGGCAAACTCTTGAAACAGCAGCCGTAGTAGTTACCTATCCTTCAAGCCTGGAGAGACAGTGCCCTCCTCTGGTTTAAAAATATAACACAAGTGAAGTATTCATTGTAAAATAAGTTTAACTGAAAAAATACATGTTACAGTGAAGTTTTCTCATGTTGCAGAGTAAAAAAAAAAGTTACATCAGTATGCTTTTTATTAATTTTGTGTGGTTTCTACCTAAAGAATAAAAATCATATTTTCATAAAAGTGGTAGATTGCCTTACTGACTAATAAATTAAAAATCTAAGAAATCATTTAATGCTGCAATAAATCAAGATACCAGATATTACTTATTAATAACAGAGCATTAAGTCTGGAGTTCTGATTTAAATTTGTAACATCAATAAGTTGATTATTGTTTCTACCACCACCAAGGTCTGCTACTTATATCTAAGTAATATGTTATAATTAATGACATCTTCAGCAAAGTATAGATCACATGCTACTTTCTGTATTAGGAATGATTAGTGACTAAAGCCACTCCAGATATTTTCAGTTGGCCATTTGTTACATGCATTTAGCCCTTCTTTCTGTTGGCAGTCACTCAGGAGCAAACTACATTTTTATGAGTCTTCATTGTTCGAGCACTTGCTCCTTGGTGTTCTTTACGTCATGTGGCTGCTCACCTGAGGAACGTGACATGGTTGCTATTTCCCCACAGGGGTGGCCTTAGCAAAGGGTTTTGCTCATGTTTGTGAGCTAGTCATGCATTTTCGTGATTGTTCAGCTCTCTAGTAGGAAAAGTGAAAAGAATTTTTCATAAGATGCCAGAGATGGCCTTGTGCCTACTCTTGTACACATTTTCAAGCTTTCCATAGCGTTTGAGTTTTATGGTTGCAGTGTGCTTTAGTGCAGTGGGCCCACCTCCTGGACCTCAGGAGGCTGAGAGCACTTAGCAACCTGTAGGAATAGGCCTGTTAGCATCCCTACATGATTGTCCTCAGCATTTGTGAAGAGCTGGTCTGAACGTGTCACCTGCGAGAGGTGAAGGTGAAATCATGATAAGAGTTTCTGATACAGGAGGAACTTGCGTGTTGCTTGGCATGTATGCTGATACATCAGGTGGGCGTTGATTTCACTCCTGACTTGCATGTTCATAAGCTTCTGTAATGCAGGCCAGTTCCTAAAAAGGCATTGATTTTAAAAAGTATTATACAGGTGTTAGTAACTGCTGTTGTTGCTAAACGACCTTTGGGTGTTTTTTTTTCTCCTACACAGGCAGACATGAAACAGTTGGTGCAAAGCTCTTGAAATCTTATCAGAAACTGAGGTAAGACTCATAAAAGGACTAATGGTCCTAGGACACTGAAAATTTGTATAGGCGATATATTGTATGTTATAAACCAGCCAGCAGTTTGTATTTTTTAATTATGAAAAATAAATTTTAATACTTTTGGAGTATAAATGATAAAAGCATAGAAAGATTACCATTTTTATCTGTCAGCAACCCATAGAAAGGGTCTCAAGTACAAAAGAGAGTACTATGTTTAGAGTAATAGTTTATTTACTTGAAATGAAGGGACGTGCAGTATTTTTGTTATATCTGCTTATATTTTTTGCATACCTGTTTACACCATTATCTTCCAAATTTACACACTACTTTTGAATGATCAGAGATGAAAATTATTTACTAGGTATAATAGCAATAGCATCATTATTTGCTCAATGGGAGGTAGTGCTGATTTGATAGCTTTAGACTTAAGAGTAGACAAGAAGCTTTGTATTCAGTAAGGCGCGTCCACTTACCAAAACTTAAAACAAGTGAAAAATCCAGTTTACACTGAATAAATACTTTGACTTGAGGCCTAAGCATGACCATACTTGTTATTACCAGTGATATATAATGAAATAACAGTCTACTTAAACTACATTGTATAAAAGAAACCTTCTTCCTTAAAAAAAAAAAAAAGTAAAATAAGATACAAAGAGATGGCCTCAATTTTATGATAATTATCTGTCAAGGCATAGCTGCAGAAGACAGAAACTTATAGTCAGCTAGATATGATCCTAACCAGGGCTGCATAAGGACTTGCTTTTACCTAGATGTGGTAAAAGAGAATCAAGAAGGAAGTTCACCGGCTGCCTTTAGGGTCTGTGATTGTGCCATGATAACAGATGCAGTCAGATACCAGATTTTTTTTCACAGACCTGGGCTATTTACAACAGATGAAATGACTCGAATGCTGTAAAGGGACTCTTAACAGCTCTGGGCCCAGGCAAGGAAGGATCCTTTTAGTATTGTAAATAAAGATGACTGTTTTCTGCAAACATCTCTGAAACAGAGATGGGGTGCATTACACAGGAATTATGTTTTAACATTCAGGACACAGACTGTAATACTACCAACTGTATAGAAGCCTAGGAAGCCTGTCCTAAATTAGGTCTTCCTGATTGTCTTAAATTAATAATTCTGCCTAGAGCAGCCCAAGATTGATACAAAGGTAGTCCTAACTCTTACAAACAGGCAATAAGCCTGTGCTGCAACTCTTAAAGACACAGGATCTCAGCCCAGATCTTTAGATTGCAGGAAAGACAGATAATAAAGATACTGTGCATGAATGTGGTTTATTTATCCATCTATTAGCATAATATATTAATTGTTGCACTGTTTATTGTCTCTTAAATTTCTAGTAAAATTTCTGTCGTACCTCCAACTCCACCTCCTTTCACAGAATCCACAGCAGGAAGCAACGTGATGGTAAATGTACATATCTGCAAAATATACATATACATACATCTCTTAGGGTGTCATTCATATGAAGAGGCCAGCCACAGAAGTGCAGTAAATAGCAACTGCTGTAGCATCATATTGCAGTATAAATGCTGCCTTATGTTCCTTCGTCATTTTTTTTTATGCTGCATTGGTAGTAGGAGAGAAAGGTCAGAGTCTATCATGAGGGATGTTTTCAATTAGTTTTCAGTTTTTGAGGGAAGTCATTAACCCTCTCTACTTGGCACTAGAATACGGCACCCGGTTTTTGGTGCCTTACTACAGGAAGACTGAGATCTCCTGAGCTCCCCTCCAGCCTGAAGGATCCCACGATCCTATGATATTCAATAGTCATTTCTAAAGCGATCATTCCATATGTTACTTTCATTACTGAGTGAAAAACAGTGAATTTTATGGTTGTCTTTGCAATACAGTTTCTAGTAGACAGAATAGTAGGACATGGCTCAGAACTCATTGAAATTGCACTAAATTACTATTTCAGTTCATTTTGAACTGGGTCCTGAGGCCCTGGTTTTGAAGCCCATTGCAATTCTGTAAACATTCTAATATGTGCTTACCTGGAGTTTGATGAAAACTCTTTGATTCAGAGGCACAGGAGCATGTGTAATAGATAGGACTTTCCTACTTGAAGTATCAAGTACATTACAACAAATCAGTGATGTAATTAGTTGTATATATGAAATTGCTATGTGATCTTCCTACAAGGAGTTCCACTTATATATCAAAGAGTATGGAACTGAAAAGATTATTTTCCATCTTCATACGTTAGTGTGACAGTTTTCAACCATGTCAGTGTATGTCCTCAGATGTATTTGTCTACAGAAGTGAGCAAAGGGCTGCAGCCTTACCATCTGATTGTTACGTGGTCTGTAGATATGTGATCATGGAAACGTTAAAACAGCAAATATTTTGTGTTTTCTTACTCTTGGCATCTCCCATTTGCAGGAACTCACACAGTCTAAAAGTTTTAATAAATCTGTGGAGAACTTGTTTTTGTCTCTCACAACACATATAAAAAGTAAGTAGCTTTCACTGCTTTGTCATTCTAGAGTAATGTAGTCAAATGTTTCAGTATTTTTGCCAAAGTATTGGCCAAAAAATAGTTATAAACAAAGGGTATTGAGTAATGGCTGAAATGACTAATGCCAAGATTGAGCCAACCTGAAAAATAATACAGTAAGTCTAATTCTCCTTCAGTATTCTGCTAGTTGTTTAACAGATGATACCAACCCAGAATGCCTTTCTTGTAAAGATGTGAAAAGACTGTATAATGTTATTTTTAAGTTTACTGGGTGTTCAGATGCAGTATATTTAACTCACGTTAGCACAGCGTAATAACCACTTTCTACTGTAGTGATCTTCGTGTTATCTAGTTGACTGAACCCAAACTGACCCCATCAAAGAATCTATGATGTAATGGAAGCAGAGGTTAATATTTTCATTCACTGACAGTCTTCAAGAGGACTTCCTTCCTCTTTCTCAGTCTGTCTAGTTGTGTGGTTTTTTTCAGTGCATACTTCTAAGAGCCAGCCAGTCCTAACAACTCTTCTTTCATTCTGATACTTTTGGTTCCTTCCATTCACTTATGCTGCCTGCTGTTCTTTAGGGTGCAGACTGTGTATGTGCCTCTAAGGCTAACTACACTGAGGACAGCCAGCCTTTGTGAAGAACAAATTAAAGGCGTCAGTGACCAGAGGAAAACAACTTCTGAGCCTTATGAAGATTACAGGGGCTTGCAGATTTGCATGTATTTGAACGAACCTTAGTGTTTTCTAACTAGCTTCATCTTAGACAACTGCAAATGTGAGATTAGACCTGAATAAATTTGGCTTTCGTGCCTTTCTGCCTTTCCCCCTAACTCCTGTCTTAGCTCTTGTTTGGTCTTTCCTCTAACTTCTTCCACCCATCCTAAAGGCCTGTTCTCCTTTAACTACACAAATTTAATGTTGTGTCTGTGTGAACACATGTTAAAGCTATGCAGAGACACAATGGCTGTCTCCTCTGAACAGAAGTGTACTGTAGGGTGGCGTAGGATACTTTGTTACTGGAAGCAGATAGCTGAGGCAGCACAGAATTGGATGCAAAGTAATTTTTTCTGCTTTCTGATAGTTTGAAGCCTGGTCATATCCCACAGTTACTGGTAAAGACTGTCAGGACTGCAGCAAGCTAATTTAATAATTCACTGCTACCAAAAGGAAGGTCCCACTCCTCCCACGTCTTTCTTCTCTCTCTGTTTCTGGCCTTATGCTGCCATCACTTAACTTGAATTAGCACCAGTGTTTCTGGACCCCTCTGGAAACTGATTTAGCTAATTAAAAGGGCAGAACATTAACCCTGACAAAACACATAGGTACTTTTCTGCTGGTTTAGTGAGTTAAATAGGCTCAAGGTAGGGTATATATGTTGGAGCCTGCACAACAGAGGGTGCTGGGCCGTGCGGCCAGGGGCCAGGGTTTGAGGAGGGAAGAGCAGTGGTTGCAGAGAGGATGGCAGCAAGTTGTTAGCTCAGTTCAGCTGTATGTGAAACCCCACTCAGTTACTATCATCATCCTCAGTTAGGACAGAACATTTTAATTAGTGAGGAAATAACAGGCTGTTGCAATCACTGAAGTCAGTAATTAAAAAGCATAGGAAGTCTTACAGAGAGAGAGAGGCTTGGGCTTCTTGACCTAAGAAAACAGCTCTTGCAGTCAATATGGCCTCTTAATGAAACCTGGTACTGTGCTGATAGATGCTTTCGGTCACGAGTGTCTAAAGTTAGTACTCTATATCTTATCTAGATAAAAATGTCCTGGTTTGCAGAGGTATTTAATACACCCAGCTCTTGTGTATTGCAGTAAATAAACCTGGAGAACCTTGTTATGCCTCTGATTCTATCACTGGAGCCAGTGTGTGTGCATGTCTGAGAGCAGCGGGGAAAAAAGGATTAGCGTGTGCAGCACAATGCCGCCGTCGTACAGTCTGCTCTTTATGCTGTTACCTCCTGTTCCAGCGTGGTTTGGCAGCAACAGGAGATGATATAATCCAATGGTTGCCATTTGGTGAATATAAGATGAGTTGCTGGTTGTAGTTTTATTTTCAGTGCAAAATCACCCTTGGCACTAGAGTTAGTGTCCGTTGTACTGACCATTTGGATAGAGAAGCCAAAGGAGGAATAGATATGAAAACTGAACAATCATTTTTTTCTCACAGTAACCTGTTCTGTAACCTATTCATTTTAAGAGAGAGTTAGGCAAGCTTGTGTTTCTGCTTCTACTGCTGGTCAAGCTACTCCATTAGATCTCTCACTCCAGTCTCTTATGATCTCTGATTTCACTGTGTATTTTAAAAACCTGGTTTCATTTACAGTCAAAGATGACTTAACTGAGCCTGCCTATGAATATGTCACGTGATGCCTTAATGGTGTACACAGAGTACAGTAAACATCTGAGGACTGATTGCTGCTAAGAACAAAACTAATGCAAAATGGCTTTAAAAATCACGCTTAAGAATGCCATTGTTTTTGAATACCATAATGACATATTGTCTGCTGTCTGAGGTTCCTCCATAGAGGCTCACGTTGTGAGAGAAGTATTTATTTCTTCTGTATGAATTAAACATATGATAGCTGTTTCATGTACCACTTATAAGTTATTAATTCTTCATGAGAGACTATCTGGGATTTACAACAAAGTCTGCTGCTAAACCTGCTAGTTTTCAACTTCAGAAATCATGGATGAGTGCTGCCCTTCCCTTTAAGTGAAGTTCTGACTGTACCCTGAGGAATAAGAAGCAAAAAGTGGTGCACTAAATGTTCAATTGTCCTATAGATTTATTTTACAATAAACTAGATGTTACTGAAGTGCTAATTCAGTAAGAAACTGAAGTATGGACACAAGCTTATCCATATGAGTAATGTTACTGAAGTCAATGAGGTCTACTCATGTTCTTAAAATTATATGTGGTTTGGGACCAAAGGATGTAATATCTCTCCTTTCATCCATATTTTGGTTAAATTTCTAAATATTTTCCAATATGCTCTGCTTTCTAATTTCCATTGTCATGTCGCTTTATGTTGTTACAATGATCTTGCTTTTATCCTGAACCAAACCGAACTGCTTTACAAATCAAACATATATAGGGACTGTAGTAGCTACTTCTGCAAGGAAACTGTACTTGATAGCATACAACAATTCCTTGCAGCAGCTATAATGATAGGAAGCAAGGAGTATAATTTCCAGTTGAAACAGCAGGAAAGATTTAGGTAGGCAAAATATAATTATACAAAATGGGACAAGCACTTGCCTTCCCATCTGTTTCTGACTCTTAGGAGATCAATACTAAAATTGCAGGATGAAAGTTTGAAAGCTACAGAATTAGCCTATAAATCTACAGGATTGCTTGCAATGTTTGTCATAGTGACTTCTCTCTTTATTTTCACTTCAGAAATCTCTAAGTCCCAGAATGATATGGCTGACAGACGTCTCCTAACCACAGATTATGGGCAGAACATGGAAAGAAGGAAGCAAAGAAGGAGCCAGTCTGACACTGCCATCAACATTACAAGCAGGGTATCCGTATTACTATACACAGTCTCTAACTGTAAGGGCTGTTTCAGGAATGGAATATATTTGTAAGAATAATGACTTAGGCAGTGGAATTTTACTTTTATTATACGAGCAGGGCTTAGCTGATGTTCACTGACAGTGGCCAGAACTCTGATTCTTCACAAGGTTTTTGACTGAGTCTACACACTTGATCTCAGCCCAGAGCTGAAATGTTAGACTGAGATTTTACAAAGACCCTCACACAGGTAGGGAGAGGATGGGTCATTTTGCTCTCAGGTGCTCACAGACTCTCTTGAGGGTGATTGATGTCTGCTCTGTGTGATTGTTGGGCTGCAGGGAGGTGCTCTGTCTCTTGTCCTCCTCTTGCCCCTCTTACTGCTGAACAAGACCAAGCTATGACCGTGCAAAACCCATCCTGACACTTTCTGAGCACTTTTTAATTCGGCAAGGAGAAAATGTTGACTGTTGTTAGTTGTTGGGCAACTTCCCTTTTCCTTTTGCTTTGGTTACAATCTCTAGCTTTCAGTGTTTTCTTGAGAAGTTTGAGAAAAATCCAGTCATCTGTTTTCCCACAAATTGTGCAGGGCTGAAGGTGATGTCATATATCTGCTTTAAAGTTACACTGAAGATTTTGTTTTGTACACTTTCAGCTCTCAAGTGACTGAACTTTGTCCATATTCAATTTTCCACATAGTGGGTACTTACTGAATCGCCTTGTTCGTCTGAATGAGGTAAATGCGGTCTGCTAAGTGCCTGAATTAAATGCTGAGAAAAGGACCAGACCTCATGGCAACTATTACTCACAGCTACCTTGGTGCACACTTTTCACTTTCCTCTGAAGTGTTAGGTGTTGATAAATGGAAGAGACAGGATGTCAGACCACATGGACTAGTGGTTTGAATTGGCCTAGCAAGGTCTGTGAACTCTGCAAAATTAGTTCTGGTATTTTTGTATGCAATTATATTATAAACAAAATTGGCAACAATTATTAACTACCCGAGTGCTGCTTTCATTGTGGCAAGCCACACTTCAGTGTTACTTTATTCCACTGGCAGAGCACTGCTCTTTAATGCATCAAAAACCATCAGAGTTGGAGATAATATAAACTCAAACTATGCTTCATTGCATGCTGATCACACGCAGCCTGTCATGTGTAAAAGATGCATATGGATTCTTTGGCTTGAGAAATGTATTAGTAGGAGATTCCAAATTATTTGTGTGGGTTTTTAATTGCCCATTTAAAGATTTAGGACTTAACTTATGTCCACCCTTTGCATTACAGATTTTGAAAGATAGATTTCAATGTTGTTTGTGTGTCATAGCTCTATTTCTCTGAGTCGGGGAGCTTCTGTTTCATTCAAACCAGTTAGACTATATTTAAGGTACAATTTTAGTTTTGCTAGAATTACTGTTGATCTTTTTTTCTTGTGAATGTCGTCTTTGCCATTTAGGTTTTTTTAATATTGAAGGAAATTTCACTTGTCTGTCCCTGCACTTATAATATGGCTTTTTGTATCTTTACTGTGGTTTTAAAAATTATTTTTAATCTCTGTCGATGGTACTATTGCATTATTCTTCCATTTATTTTTTTCTTTTCCATCTTTGTTTTCCTTTAATAAGGATAGCTGTTTACATCCATACTAGAACTATGACTTAAGCTTAGGGACAGAACCTGTTTTAAATTACACTTGCAAAACACCTTATTACTCAAATTTGTAACAAAATATGATGTAGAAATCTTACTTGTTGTTATTTCCACCCCAGAAAGAACTTTCATTTTCAGAGAATGAATTGAAACAGTATTTTTTTCCCCTAGAAAGTGTGCGTTTTTCTCCTAGGAATGACTGGGAAGTAACAGCTGTAACTCTGCCATTTTGAATGTGCAGGGTATAAGACTGGAGCATCACTTCAGTCTCAAGAGCACTATCTGTTTCTTAAGTAAGTTTTCCAAATTTGTGATATGTTTGGAGCTTGATTCCTTCAGATTAAAGTTGAAAGAGATTATATTTAACTTCAGTAATAGTGAAAAAACAATCCAATGGCAAGAACTACCAGCCAGTGTAAAATCTGGATTTAGGAAGTTAATTGAATAGTGTTTTCTAGGACTTCTCGCCATCAGAATGTCTAAGTTCATTAAAGGAACTGCAATTATACCTGCCTCACTGGGGGAACAAGCAGACATGTGCAAGCTTTGGAGGCTGTGGTGCGTCGGTAGCTGTGGGTTACCCCTCCTGTGGCAGCGGATGCATGCTGCTGCAGGCATTAGAGCTGGGCTATGTGGGAGTCTTGCTTATGTGACCTGATGCTAAGTTTAGCACTGGTAGTTATGTTGCCTTGTCAATCACTTATATTCTGTTTAACACGATAGAGAAGTCTTTCTGATCCAAGTAGTAGCTAAAATTCAGTGTGTAGTAGGTTGTTTTGGTTAGCAAGTGAAATTGGTGGTGTTTCAGGTTTTTATAAAGCAGAAGACAGTTTCTCTGCTGAGAAATATGATATTTTGGTTTTGTTTGGGGTTTTTTTGAGACTATATTCTGAATGCCTTTTCTGCCTGTTTCCTTCTCACAAGGGAATTTAATGAATTCTTACATCTGTTCTTAAGGTAGGGCAGTTATTACACATAACAATTTCTGTGTGTTACAATAACAGCATACTGGTTTGGATTTTGCACGTCCTGTTTTTTCAAAAGTAATACATTATCTCCTCCGTTGTCCTCATTCTTTAGTGCTTTCTGCTGATGGTGCAGGAGGGGTTCCCAGGTCTGTTGAATATATATGATCTGTTTTCTTCTATGCAAAGAAGTCCCAATCCTTTTGTTGATTTGGTCACACTATATTCTTTCTAGTCTTTCAGGTAACCCCTGTTATACAATTTTTGTGAAGAAATTCTTTTCTTAGATCCTAACCCTGTAAAATTTCTTACCTCACTCTTTTCCTACCCATTGAACTGTGAACGTACTCTTCATGGATTGTATTATCCAGGGGTAGTGGTGTGCCAGAATGAGCTAAAATCTATTTTCAGCATATTTCTAGCCATATGTATTAGTCTTTTGACACTTCATTCTATTAACTGTTCTAATTGGTAACAGAGGTGGCTGAAGGTAAATCTCAGGGAGTTTTGCTACTATATATCTTAATTTTCCACAAATTACCAGGGTTTTCATGGGAATATTGGAAAGGTGAATGGACTTAGCCAAAGCAAAGTCAAGAATACCACAGAAATTTAAACTTTTTCTATAATCAAAGCTAAATAAGAACTTGTGAGTGAGTCTGTATTTTCAACTCTCTTTCAACCTATATTCATTCTTGCATAGGTAGACATGGGCGTCATGCATATTGCAAAATACTGTTTTTAATTTTTCTAATTTCCTGCAGGCAAGATTTATTTATTTTTTCTTGCAAAATTACTGTTTTGTTGAAGGCTAATAAGGCCTTTTATTAGTATATTGCTACTTTTGGTGTGTTATTAGTAGACTGTTGTTAGTAATTGCTGTGGTAGTGATCCTTAGATTAGGTGATGGTATGTTGATTTTAGAAAATTATGAATATAATGAATGTACTACTAGCTGGGATGAGAGTTGTAAATCAAGATTTAAATTACTACGTTGTCTTTGAAAGTGTGCCACCTGTTTGACATTGATCACAGTGAATTGTAGCCATTTACTGAATTTTCTTCTGATAACATTCCTGAAGGAATCGGGGCATTTTTCTTAAATTAAAAAAAAATTACTTGCTGAATTTCTTACAGATGAAAAGTACACCCAGTCTTCAACTGCTCATCACTGGTGCCCAAAATGACAGTGAAATTCTGACCAAAAGGAATTGCAAGGGGGAGGAAGACATAACAACCAGTCCCACAAGCGATGCAGTTTTCTGTGATGGCAGAAAACATGTAAGTTGAAGGGTGAAGCACAACAGAACAGGTTCCTAATGGAGACAGATATAAAAGATAAGATCTTGTGCAAAATGTTGGTGTATTTTGGATTATATTACAAAATGAAGGAAGAATTTTACTTGAGTTTGTATCTGATGAAAGGCTGACTGCCTTTAGCGTGGTCCTCATAGTAACACTGTGAACTTTTCGCAGCATAAGCCCAATCAAATTAATAGTGGATAATTGATAGATGGATGTACCCATTAATAATGAATAATTGATAGATCAGCTTCCTCTGAATTTTGCAAATGCAACTAGCGTTCTTCCCATTTTATATTAGGGATGGTATCATGAACATGGTTCTTTCTAACCTAGTAACTATCTTTTTCTCTTAAAACTTCATTCAGCTGAAGGGTTTTGTTATTCTGCAAGAACTGTGGTAATGGAAATGTCAGTGGAAATTCAAATGTCAGAATGTCAGTGAACGAAGAAGAAGCTGACAGCGACGGAAGCCAGGGGAGCAGTTCATAGGTTTAGGGGATGGCATTGAATCATCATCTGATGGATGGCATTTGAATACTGCAAATGAGAGAGAAGGAAGCCAGTTATAAATTAATTCAGCACGTGCTTTAAAGTCTCTATGATTAACTGTGGAGGCTAATTTCTATGTATTAGTGATGAGGTTAAGCAGGGTGAAGCATCCAAAGAATCCATGACTGATACTGTAAAGAAGGGAACTAAAATGACTTCTAGGGAATCAAAATTAAACCAGCCTGCTCACTTTGCAGATGAGGAAAAACACACACAAGGACCTTGGTGATCTCTCATAGTTTACTGCACTGTGGAGTCTGAGGTGTTAAACTGACAAATGGATAACAATTTTGGATGACATTTGTGATTCTAATGACAACCATTTGAACTGGGCTATAGACAGCCCAGGCTTAAAAGTGAAATATTTTCTACTGTCTTACAAAGGGGAAGGTCAAGTTCCATTGAACTTCCCTTTATGGGTAACTGTTGGATTTTGATTACCGCTCCATGAAAATATATCTTCCAAAATACCAGATGTCATTGATTCCAGTCATGCCAGCAGGAGTGCAATACATGAAGTCATTGCTAAATCCCTGTTCACTGAACCAAAAGGATAAGTGATTACTACATTGAATGTATGTGACTCCTGATCAGGTGGTAGACATACATAGTGATGTTCAGTCCAAACATCTTTAATCAGAACACCTATCCAGCCTCTCTAAATAAATAAGAGGTTCTGTGGAATAAATATTAGGGACTTTTGCAGAACTTTTTTAGGACATATGAGCTAAGACAAAAATCTATTTGCATTCCTTCATCATGAAGGATTTTGGTGGAAATTAAGCATTTTCTGGTCAGATGAATAAAAATATGTCAGTGAGTGAGAGAGCAGAGCTGAACAAAGCTGCAAGGGAGATTGATTACACTGATACACGTCTCATGGAGGGAGCAAGATTACATGCAACAAGCATCAGGTCAAAACAGTCATAACACTTCCTATGACTTCCTCAATAAGCACCTGACCCTTCTTTTGTCGAGTTTGTATGTTACTTAGAGCTTATAAGATAGAGTAGATGATAGCTTCTTTAATCTAATTAAGCTTTTGGTGTGAATTTTAAAATGAATATTTGGCAAGCTGCACAAATGAAGAAGAGCATCTGCATGGAAGAGAGATGCGATCTTATAAACACTACTCTGCACTCTTAACTGCTGGGTTGTGCAATGCAGAACTCCTTGGTTAACCAGGCCTGCGTGGGTTGGTGTTTATTTTCAGAGGGAGGAGTGATCTAGCACAGATATCTTAGCAATCTAGGGCAATGTTGCTGTGAGATTAATCACAACAACAATTGTGTCTTTGTGACATATGCTATGTAAAAAGTTTCTAGGGCTCACCTTAAAGAATATCATTCTAAATGAATGGAGACCAAACTATTTTGACTGAGTTGATAATTTGTTACAGTGAAGGCTAGATAGCACCATAAAATTACATGTCTGTGCTGGGCCACAGAAAGGATTATAGTCTCTTTCTTCATTGCAGTTTCATGGCCTCTGTAAATGCTAGACACACATGTTGTTTATATATGTGGATGGACAGCATCCAAACCTTTGCCCCATAGGTGAAAGTAGATGAAGGGAGAACAAAGTGACTGAGGTGAGCTAGGAAACACCTTCTTTATGCACCCACATACGACAACTGGATGTCTTCATATTTTAATCTTTCCTGAACAGTCTGCTGTAGTATGGAGTATGTCATTTTTACATGGAATTGGGGGATCTTGTAGAATATTTACTGGATGTGCAAGGCCACTTTTGTTTCCTTTAATATATGATAGAACCTAACATCTCGGCAGTGTACCCTGCTATGAGCTATGTATTAAAAGCAGTCTAGTTCAATGCAGTAGAATTGCAATTACAGTCATAATTTTCAGGGCTGTTACGGAAGCAGCAGAATGTTTTATACAGGTTACCTTAAATCTTCGTGATCTGCAGTAGCTCTACAGTCATGTCTGTAAAGATACTGACCTTTGAGGAGAATAAATGTTTTGTCCTGTTTGATCTGAAGCTACTTTTCCCAAACATTTGTCTTTTCTTAGGGGAGTTTGTATAGTCTTAACAGCACCGAGTCTGGCAATTTTGGCAAGGCTAATGTTACGGGAGAAATAGAGTTTGCCATAAGATACATCTTCAAAGCTTGCATCTTAGAAATTTGCATCAAGGGATGCAAGAACCTGGCTTATGGAGAAGAGAAGAAGAAAAAGTGTAACCCGTAAGTATTTTGTAGAGAAGGAGAAAAAAATAAGGAAAATATTCTGGTTTTAAGATACTTATGTGTGCTGTGATTGAAATTGATTGAAGTGTGATGGTATGCCATATTAGCACTTTCAGAACATCCAACATATATACACCAGTCCTTTTTACATGTACACACTGCAAGACAAATAGGTTTCATACCAGCGCTTATTCCATTCAGACCATTTTCTGCTAGTAATTGTCTCTTTCTCTGCCTGTGAACAGGCAGTTGGGTATCTGTGTTGCTGATGAGCACCTTTGGATCTTGAGAATAGCTGTTCAGATTTTAACTCTTAAGTTGTGCCCGCAAAATTAATACATAAGTGGATGAAACATGGGACGTCATAGAATCATAGAATCATTGAGGTTGGAAAAGACCTCTAAGATCATCGAGTCCAACCATCAACCCAACACCACCATGCCCACTAAACCATGTCCCTAAGTGCCTCATCTACACGTCTTTTAAATACCTCCAGGGATGGGGACTCCACCACTTCCCTGGGCAGCCTGTTCCAATGTTTCACCACTCTTTCAGTAAAGAAATTTTTCCTTACATCCAATCTAAACCTCCCCTGCCGCAACTTGAGGCCATTTCCTCTCGTCATGTTCCTAATTCATCTACTGACTCGCTGTAGATCACTGGGTGATTGCTATACTACTACTGTGCTTCCATCTTCTGTAATAAGAATAGAAATTTCAGATACTGCAACACATTTTAAATTCTAAAGCTGTTTAATAATTATGTATTATTGTAAGAGGAAGAAATACCTACTTCTGCAGATAAAATATGCCATAGAAATTTTTGGTTGGATAGTTAAGCCTTGATGATTTGTCTGTTTATTACTAAATGATCCTCTCTGACCATGCAGCAATCATTCATAGAAAATGTAACTACCGGTTCTTGCCCCTGCTGTCACACCGTGTTCGAGCACCTTGAGTGACCACACTGGAACTGTGGAGTTGCAGTCACCTTCACCCAGAAGGAATATGACTTTTGCACATCTTGCAGAGGACGTTCATAAAGATGAGCTTGGTGATGAAAGGAGCCTTGCTGGAACAGCAGCTCGTGAAACGGGGCAGTTTGAGAGCACTTCAGAAGTGGGTCAAGGTTCTTTAAGTCCCCTGGTAATTAAGCCAGGCAAACAGTTGCAGGAAGCCTGAAAGGCAACATGGGAAGTGCTGTGTAGTGAACATTATGTTCTCTGTTGGTATATATTTATATATTTCATAGAATCATAGAATAGTTTGGGTTGGAAGGGACCTCTAAAGGTCATCTAGTCCAGCCCCCCTGCCGTGGGCAGGGACATCTTCAACTACATCAGGTTGCTCAGAGCCCCGGCCAACCTGACCTTGAATGTTTCCAGGGATGGGGCATCC